CAGATTACAGTTTGTAAATGCACACAGGGACAAAGAGCTTCATTAGTGGAGACATGTCCTGTGGTCTGATGGAACTAAACCTGAACTGTTTGGCCTTCATGACCATTGTTGCTGCTGGAGGAAAAAGGGGGAAGCTTGAAGCCTGAGAACACCATCCCAACTGTGAAGCATGGGGGTGGCAGCATCATGCTGTGGGGGTGTTCTGCTGCACTTCACAGAATAGATGGCATCACAAGTAAATATTGAAGCAGCATCTCCAGACATCAGCAGGAAGTTAAAGCTTGGACACTAATGGGTCTTCAGATGGACAATGACCCTCAGCATGGCACCAGATTAGTTACAGAGAGGCTTCAGGACAACAAGGTCAGTGTTGTGGAGCGGCCATCACTAAGCCCTGATCTCAATCCTGGAGAACCCTGACTCAGTTCCACCAGTTCTGTCAGGAGGAATGGGCCAGAATTCATCAGACTGTTGAGAGAAGCTTGTGGAAGGAAACCCAGAACGTTTGACCCAAGTCATAGAGTTTAAAGGCAACGCTACCAGATACTGAGGAGATGGATGGAAACTTCTGACATTTAACAAGTAGAAATAATGTTGGTCATCCTTACTGACATAAAACAGGAAAAGTTCAGTCTGATTTAGTGTCAGACAGTGAGAAAGAAAAGTTTATGTATCCATTTATACATCGTATGTAAACTTCTGGTTTCAACAGTACGTGTTAAAGTTTGATTTAAAGTTAATTTTTATTTCACCGATAACTTTTTCTTGGGCTAGAAATGACATAAACAAGTAAGACGTTGAGCTAGATTGCATTAAAATCTGCAAAATTCTTGAAATCGTTGCAGGTTTTTGACAAAATGCAGCTTTTCCTCATTCCAAACACTCTCTGTGTTAAGGTCTTTAAAGAAACTTGGGCTTCTTTAGGAGTCGTCCCATCGAATTAAGTAATAATTCAGCTTTTTAAAATGTATTTCTATCATGCTGGAGTTTATAATTTTACTCTAAAATGTGCTGTATGTCAAAATGTAAACCTTTGTTTCCATGTTGTGCTACATATTACGCTAACATGGAGTTTTTCAAAGTAAAATGCACTCAATCAATCAGACATTTTGCTTTTTTGGAGGAAAATTATTCGACTAATTAACAAATCGTTTGAGAAATGGTTGCTATTCACTGTAAATCTAAATTTTGCTCCAGTGTTAGAACGCCGATGTACAGCTACTGGCAGCGTGGGCGTGTTGTTGTGTTATTGTGTGTGAATAAAGGAGGCGAGTGTCTGTCCTGCAGGGTGGAAATGTAATTTGAGCTGCCGAATGCAGTCGTGAGCTTAAAAAAAAAAAAAAAAAGGGACCCATGAATAATTAAGTGTAAAAAAATGTGCATGTATTACATTTTCACAGTTGCTTAAACACGTTTCCTGAATTTCTCCCAAAACTGTGAACACAAGACGGAAAAACTTCTTCAGTCAGATTTTAACGCTGCAGGGTATATTTTGCAGCTTTGTTTTTTTATTTTGCATTAATTATTTAGGTGTCTTACAAACTAAATGCAACAAGATATTTAAAAAAAAGTTGAATTTATAGCAGTGTATCAGTAAACAAGGAGGGAAAACGGTGTGACAGGAGCTCCAGCCTCAGCAGTGAAGCCTGATGGAGATGCTGCATCCAAGAACTGCTGTTTTTCTGGCAGAACTTTCCCGTTTCTCTGCGTTTTAACAGCACGACTCGCCTCCGTTCAACCAAATACAACCAAGCAGCTCCCACAAACCAGGAAATATTATATTATCTTATTATTGCCTTTGAAAAACAAATAGACATGATACAAATGCATCTTCTGTCATGTGTAAATTAAGAACTGATTGGGTTTTTAGTGTGTCTGATTTAGCTGTGGATTAAGACACAGGACTGCAGGGATGACACCTGAACAATGTCAGACTGAACCAAAACAGAGAAGCTAAAGCCTGGATGGACTCTCAAGAGTCTTATTACCTTGCGTAATTTCAATTGTAATTATCGTATGAGCTTCATCAACAACTAAAAAAGGCCCATGTTGAGCCATCGTTGCAGATTTATAACCGACGGGGGGTTGTATTAAAAGCTTAATATGCTGTAAATGAGTTCCCATGTCCTCCTACATGACAGTCTGTCAGCATCAGAGTCTCCCGTCACATTTTTATTCACTGTGGCTCATTTTTCACGTCAGCATGAAGTCCTGCACCTCAGTGGAAACAGAACAACCATGACTAGAAGGAGAGAGAACACAGAAACGTCTTCTGTGCAATAAGAGAGTTAGAATGTCGTAAATCGTAACAACAGAAAGGTGAAAGTTCAAGTTTTTGATTATTTATTATACAAAAAATTGAAAATCTAGAATCAACATCCTACAAATCTTATGCGATAGATATTTTAATACTTCTTTTTTTTGCAACCTTAACAAACATCAGCATTTTTCACACTTTTTAATCAGTTTCTCTACTTTAAACACAGCCTGCAGTTCAGCTGAATCGTTGAATTTTTGTCATGTGACTGTTGGTTGCAGCTAACAGTTGTGGCTTCACAGCTGCGTCAAGAAGCTCAAATTTTTTTTCACATTATCTGCTCAGAGAAAACACATTTGATGAAATATAATAATTGATCAGATTTATATAGCGCTTTTCTAGACACTCAAAGACGCTTTATACTGTCAATTATTCATTCACACAAATTCAGCTACGATTGTAGCCACAGCTGCCCTGGGACACAGCGGCCTCTCCGACCACCACCTCAAGCAATCCCTTCATACGCATTCACATGGGTGAAGTGTTTTGCCTAAGGACACAACGACCAGGGCGACCACACAACAGTGGAATCGAACCGCCGACCTTCCGATCATCGACCGACTTGCTCTACCACCTGAGCCACAGCCGCCCCTAAATATCACAAGTTTAGGCTTAGATTTGGCTAATTTTTCCAACCAAACTGAAGATCACACATGATGCNTTCAAGTACTATTGGAAATCTGAAAACCTGGCAAATTTTTACATTTTACAGTTTCTGTCTCTGATAAATAGTTTTATTTTGGCGTTTTTTCAAAGATACCCTGTCTTGGAAACCATTTGAAATGATAATATAACAACATTTTCTTATTAGAAACTTCATAAGTGTCTCTTTTTGGTCGCAGATCTAAAGTTTGAGGTGTGAAGATGGACTTCTCACACTGTTGTGTTCCCCTCACCGTTCCTTAAAGCATCATGATTCCCTCTTTGTCCGCTACTCGTATGTTCCATGAATCCTTGCAGCTAATTAAACGGCTGAAATCAGACCGATTCTTGCTGCATAAGCGAAGCCGAGCTCGGGCTTTTAAATAATGCACGTTGCATTTTTCATGGGATTTGTGGCGGCAAGTTGGGAAATTTGTCAGCGCAGCAAATTACATAACGCAAAAATAATGAAAAAGAAAGGCATGAATTAATCACGTCCAAACAAGGTGAACGTATCGCAGCTCAAACTCTGGACGTGATGAGACGAGTTTATTTTTTTTTGTCACTTCTGCTGCACCTGAAGCTCGATGTGTGGCGGCTAATTGGTGCAAATGTTAGTGTTTCAGGTTACGATGCTGCTGTTACGCTGATTATTTTTATTATCTGTGACAGTAGTTTAGTGTTATTAATAGAATTTGGCTGCAACCTCCAGTAACGTCTGACTAAACGCACACTGTGACATTATAAAGGTGCGTTTTCAGAGACAGTGAGAGGCAGCGTATCGTGGTGTCAGGGGGTTCGACATCACAGGGAGTGTTTCCCTTCTGCTGAGTCAGGTGTTTACCATAATATACATCCTGCACACACACACGCACACACACACACACACGCACACACACACACACACACACACACACACACACACACACACACTGCAGCAGGCTATTAGCTGCACATGGAGAGATAATACAGCGACATCCATCATATGAGATCATGTCAGTTCATTATTGACTCATGTTCCACATTAAAACAACATCCAAGCTCTTCATTTTTTTCAGAAACGTTCATTCTGATTATTATAGATATTATTTTTATCATAGAACTGCATGATATATGATTAGAGCATTGTGAAGTTAGTAAAACTTGCACAGTTGTCATTTTTTTATGACTAATCTAGAAGAGCAGTCAGTCATTTTTTTTTTTTTTAAACTTAACTTTATTTAAAAGACACACAGTTTGTTGACATGCAGGTTTGGAAAGCGGTTTTGCAAAATATACTAAATATTGAAAAAAAATCGAAAGCTAAAGGAGTTTTCACCAGATTACTATCTATTTGGGAAGAAGTCGTCATTTTAGAATGATTGGGGGGATTTTGTTGTTAAAATTTCTATATATTTTTTTAATTTAGCTGCAAGAAGTTGTTTGGAGCCTTTCTCATATAGCTGGTAAAGACATTTAAAATGTTTTTTCTGATTTTTTTTTTTACTTTGTTGACATGCAAATGCCAGCAAAATAATCAAAGAACAAGAAAGAAACACTGAAATTGAAGATTTGGCTGCAAAAGGAAAACATTTTTATACAAATATTTCACATACAGAAAGGGTGACATTGACCAAAAGCAGGTACTTTATTCATTTAAAAGTTTCTCCCAAATAAGTGATTATTTTCATCTAAATTCTGCAAAAACTGAAAAATTCGACACTCCTTGGTGCAACTGGTAAAACTTGACTGACTCAGCTGTGACCAACGGTTAGGTGGCAAAAGTTCTGGGACTGATCGACTGAACCGCAGGCAAAATGAATAATCTAATTTTTAGGATTTATGGTTTAATAACTGTGTCACGCTGCACAGAAGGTATTTCTGAGTTCTTTCTCCTTCTAGTCATGGTTGTTCTGTTTCCATAGAGGTGTAGGACTTTATGTTGCAGTGAAAAATGAGCCACAGTGAGCAAAATGTGACAGGAGCAGAAAAAAATAAATAAATTCATGACTAAATTAGCAATACGTTTATCACCAGAAGCCCTGCATAGCTTCATGTGTATGAAACTGTACATGCTTTTCTTTACAGGCTTAACGTCAGCTTTTGATTGAAATGTGGTTAAATCCAGATTTAAATCCAGTTGTTTGAGACCAACTCAAACATATTTAAAGTGAAATACACACATTTATGTACTTAAATGTAACCAAACCTTCTCTAACTTTGGAAGAAAATATTTGTTAATGTGGGAATCAATCACTTGCAGTAAATATCTGGTTCAGAAAACAGGTTTCAAAGATGAGAAAACAGAGTGAACTTGTTTTTATAACTACATAAAATCAACAGTTAAAGTCAACATCCCACATTATCTTTTGTGCAACAAGGACGCTACATGTGTTAAATGTAATATTCTGGCCCGTACATATACTTATCAGTGTATTTATAGTTCATACACTCTGCTCTAAGTGCTGCGGTGGATCAGGACCAGAAACATGTTGAAGGTGATGTTGAGCCGGGTCGTCTAAAAACGGCAGACAGAGAAAGATGGATTGCGTGTTGGACGAGTGTTTAACCCTCCTGACTCCACGGTGTGACCCCGACAATCTCCTAAAAGCTTCAGATAAAGTTAATTAACGGATGACGTGTGTTCGGACGCCAGAAGACCTTCAGCCAGCAGCTAAAGACGAAGCGGTCCGTGACTCTTAAAATGATTAGTAGTTGAAGTGACGCGTGTGTCGTGGCGTCCTTGTTTCATGTGACGATGACGGTTTTTGTTCTACAGAGAACAGAAAACGTTTTCAGTGAATGTTGTTTCAGTGGATCGTCAACTTCTGCTGCACACTTTCTGTGCATTTACTCTGGAAATGGAGGCTTTAATGAAATTTCAAAAACGTTCAGTGGAATCTATTAAATAAGAAAATTGTAGATTTATACATGCACTGTTAAAAAAAAAACAACGATTTACTGTTATTTTACAGCTTTTCCCTGTTTTACATTGCAGGTAATGTAAGAAAAACAAAAATCAGGGAAAAACAAGGTATTCATTTACTTGTTAAAAAAATTACTTGGAAAAAAAAAAATCAGTCAAAACTGTAAATAGCGTTCTCATTAAAATCTCTATTATTATAAACAGTAATTTGACCCCCCAAATATTCACACTTACTGTATTTAAATCAGCAAAATACATCATCTACAGATATTTGTTATACATTTAAATGATATTTTAAATATTTAAATTTAAATTTAAATGTTTCAATTTTTAAAAAAAATTAATATTAAGGATTAAACTGTTATTTTACTTATTTTTCCTGTTTACTATGCAGATAACATGCTATATATTACACTGTATGCTTTTTATACATTTTATTTTCTTAGAAAATGCACATTTTACATTTTATCCTTACACTTTTTCTACCTATGTTTATATATTTTTAATCAATAAAATATTTCTGATTCTGAGTTTAAGTTACAGAAAATAACTAGCAAGAAAACATACAACTATTTTTTAAAATTCTCATTAAAAATCTGTAGTTTGAATTGTAGTTTATTCTCTTAGAATGTTTGACAATAAAATTATACTAATTTTAAATTATATTTAATTTAGTTTATTTAGTTGTTTGATAGNTGCATTTACTCTGGAAATGGAGGCTTTAATGAAATTTCAAAAACGTTTAGTGGAATCTATTAAATGAGAAAATTGTAGATTTATACATGCACTGTAAAAAAAAAACAACAACTATTTAGTGTAATAACAAGAAAAACCAAAATCAGGGAAAATCAAGGTATTCATTTACTTGTTAAAAAAATTACTTGAAAAAAAAAAATCAATCAAAACTGTAAATAGCGTTCTCATTAAAATCTCTATTATTATAAACAGTCATTTGACCCCCCAAAAAATCACACTTACTGTATTTAAATCAGCAAAATACATCATCTACAGATATTTGTTATACATTTAAATGATATTTTAAATATTTAAATGTAAATTTAAATGTTTAAATTAAAAAAATATATATGAATATTAAGGATTAAACTGTTATTTGACTTATTTTTCCTGTTTACTGTGCAGATAACACACTATATATTACACTGTATGCTTTTTATACATTTTGTTTTCTTAGAAAATGCACATTTTACATTTTATTCTTACACTTTTTCTACCTATGTTTATATATTTTCAATCAATAAAATATTTCTGATTATGAGTTTAAGTTACAGATAATAACTAGCAAGAAAACATACGACTATTTTTTTAAATTCTCATTAAAAATCTGCAGTTTGAATTGTAGTTTATTCTCTTAGAATGTTTGACAATAAAATTATACTAATTTTAAATTATATTTAATTTAGTTTATTTAGTTGTTTGATAGATTTGAAAGAAAATGTATATGAAGGAATGAAAAATGATTTTTTTTCCCCCTCTGTTTTGTTAAACTACACAGAATACAGATCTCTAGTGAAATCACAAAAAACGATATTTTTAATGTACTTGTTGACTGAGTAAAAAGAAAACAAAAAAACAGGCCAAAACTGGTCATAGCATCCATGCTGAAAGTTTGTATTTGTTCTTTTTTAACAGTGTGCGACTGTAAAGTTATGATCTAAAGATACCATTATTTTTTGCAACTCTTTCTTTAAGTGCACTTTCTTGAATCTGCTCTCATATTCTAACTCAAACCGAACATTTCCAGTTGAGGAACGTCCCCTACAGCGCGGTACTTTTCCTTTAGATAAGTATCTGAGTACTTCTGGCTGCACACACGTGGAACACAGCAGCGAGGGCAGCAGAGGATTCTGTCCAGAACGTCACCTTGTGGGAGAGAATTACAGTTAGTACTCTGACAAATGCTCCGGTAATGCATTAAGGCCCCTGAGCAGGCAGCGGAGTGACTAATCTATCAGGCTGATAGCTGAGGAGGAGTTGAATTCAGATGCATTATTCCATTTAGTGATGAATAAAACAGCAGAAACCTGTGCTGATACGTGCTCTCTCCTCTCCCGCCTCTTCCTCTCTTGCAGTGGGATGTTTTTCGACGGCAATCACACCTACATGATTGAACCTGGAGGACAAGGCAGCGGCAGTGTAAGTACCAATCCACGAATCTGCGAGCTCTGAAGGAGGCGCCGACGGCCGGGATTATCGGTCCCGTCTTTTCACGTCCAGCTGCTCCTCGACCCCGCTGAGCTGAGCAGTTTGTCGGCCCTCGTTGTCGTTTCCACCTGACGTCTTGTAGTGGATGTTATTCAACGCTGTTAATTATTCAGAATGAAGTTACCCTCGAGTTTTAAATGCTCAGGCCTGGTTAGCCGGGTCGTTTTAGTGCTGCGAATTCGGTGAACCTCGAGCTGTTTTCAGGAGCCTATGGAGGAACTCGGTGCATTTCCATCACGAGAACCATAAGCATAACCATAATTATGAGCTGTTTTCCACTGCAGGAGGGAAACCCAAACCTTTATGCACGCTCAGACCGCAGGTACCACCCCGACAGAACCTCTTTATTGCCATTTGTGCAGGACAAAACTGTTCATCTACTTCTGGGTGAAACTGCTGTTGGTTAAACTAGTGGACGACGACAACAGGAAGTGTCATTTTGTCACCACATAGACTCCAAACATCCACGGTTCTCATTCCTACGTGCTCATAGATCCAGTAACTACTATTTGGCTTTGCTTTGAGTTAACTTTGCATTGATGGATCCAACACCTGAGTGGAAACAGAAAGAGGCCGATTCTGTTCACAAAGAGGTTCTGCAGGGACGGTTCTTGTGGTTGGAACACGCACAAAGGTTCCGGTCGCCCTAGAACGTCACGGAAGTTCCTGCAGTAGAGAACAGCCTTGTTTTCCCCTCCAGTAAGTCCCTGTTAGAGAGGACAGCAATGTTTCATTTAAAAAATCTGTAGCTGCACATATAGTTTGTTTTAATGTTTATTGTGCATCAACAAAAACGGTTTCCTACGTTATTAGACTGATGTTCCTCTTCTTCAGGGGTCTTTAAACTGTGGTGGAACAAACTATGAGAAGCTGTGTCGCATTTAATAGCTTTGGTTGACTATTTTTAGCTAGAATTACGGATTTAGGCGCCGTCCTGACTAGTCGTAGTTATACTGACCAGCCAAAGAAACAGTTAGAGGTGACAGTGGACTCATTTGTCCTGGAAGAAAGAATTTCATTATGGATGTCTGCAATACATATCCAGTCTAGCTATGAAATGCTTAAAAAAAAACCCAAAACAACCATCTAAAGGAACCAATTAGTTCTTGGGGCAAAAACTTGGTGGTACTTTGAGTAAAAACGTGGCTTCAGAAAGTGTTTCTGAGGTTTTAAAACTGACTCTGGTCGGCGGACGGCATTAAAGTTAGTTGTTTATTTGTTTAAAGATGCCTGTAAACTCCATCAGATTCGCTTATCGGATTGTTAAATAGCCCTGGACCTTATTTGTGAATGTTTTTTTTACCACACATAATCCCAGCCTTGTTCTTCAGCAGCCACACCTCAGATGTGCATGTGTTGTTTTTCTTTTTTAACAAATTTTTACAATTTCCTGCCCTGAAATCTGTCAGTCTGCCTCCTTGTAAAATGCAGAAATGCCTCCAAAGACACGAGCACCAAGTGCACATGCAGCAGATAATTGGCGAGAACAGTTTTTCCCGACATCGCAGGACCTCGTGCGGGACTCGGCGAGTGTCCTGAGAGGAGGTCAGGACAAACCAGAATCGGTTTCAGATCGCTACAGAAGCCTGAGTGCAGCTCTCAGCGCGGAGAGACTCTCCGGCTAACAAAGGCAGCAGACAGCGGAGAGGCCTAAAGCCAATTAGATAATAGAAACACAGGCATTATGATCACAGAGAAAGGACAGATCTGAGATTGTCTAAAGACGCCTTAAGCATGAGAGCAAAGGAACAAGCCGCTGATACTGTGTGTGTGTGTGATTCTGGTCTAATTAAAACCTCCAGAAGAAGAAGACGAAGTGTCTGGTGTTAATCAGGGAAAAGAAGATAAGCGAGGTCAGGGACTCGTGTGTGTGTTTGTGTGTCGATGCGTTCATGTGTGTTTGGATGCAGAGCTGTTTAAGATTCGTTGTTCTTGTGTTGAACAAGCAGGTAGGAGAGGAAATAAAGAGGATGGATGCTCTGTTGGGGTGGAACGGAGCGGAAAAGCCCCCCAAAAAATCTTTAAAATAAGTGTAATTAGATTGCTTGTGATGGGAGAAAGTGTAAAACAAGAGGAGCTAATTCATTTGTAACGCAATCCCACAGCTGAAAATGTGAAGTTAATGAAAGCAGTGGAGGATTCTGAATGTGGAAATGGAGGAAATGCACGAGGAGATAACAATGCTGGCTGCGTTTCACATCTTCTTCTTCTTCGTCTCTCCTCTGCCTCCGTCACTCCTCTCCGACGTTTTCTGGAGATCCTGAATTATTAAAGCGACGAGAGAGAGAGAGAGAGAGGGACAGACTCAGATCTAAACTCAGAATATTGCTGCAGCGCTCCTGTACAGAGATATAGCGTCTCGGTCGCCTCTTTTTTTTTGGTCGCCGTGACGTAAAATGCATAAAAATTGGAAGAGTTTCTCTACTATTTCAGTTCTTCGTATGCCAAACGTTTGCTGCTGTGTATCAAATATTAAAAATACAGCTTTAAAGCAACATCTTTTAGTGTCGCACATGGAAAGATGAAAGAAAGACTCCAACGTTATGGACGAGGTTTAAATCACAGAACATGTGTTTGTGTTCAACATTTCACATAAAATCAGTGGAAGAACACATTTAAAGTAGAAGGCACATTTTTTTTAGCTTGATGGGTTTAATATTTAATATGTGAATAATAAACTTGCTTTCAAAACGTATTTTCTGCTTTTTAGTTGATAAACTGGTTTAATCATGATTACAGGTTGGCAATGGAGCAAAAAGAAGT